CTGCTGCTGTTGCTGATGCTGCTGCTGCTGTTGTTGCTAATATTGCTGGTGTTCTTCTGTTGGTTTTGGCTGTGGCATTTTGCAGCTGCAGTTTGGCGTCTCTCATCTGCTAGCACATCTTTAATTGTCGAGCGTCAAGCATGTTCTAGCCAAAGGCTTTTGTTTACAGCTTTTTTTTTTAATGGATTTTTGTTACCACGTTTTCTGTTACATCAGTTTAAAAAAAAAGTTGTAGGAACATGTTGTCAATGTTCAATGTTATGCAAATTCTCTAAGCTCTAAGCTCTAAGCAGCTTAGAAATTTGACTAAACACATTGGTGCCCTCGTTCAAATTGCAGAGCTAATTTCATATTGGCAATGATGGTACAAGCAGTTACCCTGTACTGGTCAGAAAATATATTTGTTCTTGTGACTTTTAAGGGAATCATTGAACTCCACTCTGCCTTTGCAGATAATGTGAGCTGCGTGTGGACAAGCTTTGGTCCTAATGAAAGACTCTCGATCTTTAAATATTTCTACAAATAGTTTCTGAAATGTATGTGAGTCCTTACAGCAACACGGACTTTATTCAAAAGAAATTAATGTGGTCTTTTGACTTACTCGATATATACATACAGAATATTTTGGGTTTAAGGCAACTGCTAGCATTGTTAATACGAAAATTCGCTCTGGGCATTTATGCTCAACATTTCTGTTGGGCTTCGGGTCATATAACAAAGTCAGTAGGTCGCCGTTGTTAGGAACAACAATGAAAATGATGGACAAAAATGCTCTGATGCTTGCTGGGCTAATCGGCGTCCAACTGTGACTAGAAGACCCCAAAACAATAAAAAAAAAAACAAAAACAAAAACATGCATAGATGCTGTCCGAAATGTCTCTCTCCGCCGCCCTGTGTGCTTTTAATTAATGACTCTAACCCGATTTGTAAAACAAAATAAAACCAAATAACACTGAGCTGAAACGCGAAAAAAAACCTAAAACAGGTGAAAGTACAACTAGCCAAAACACAACAAAAAACAAGCAGCAACAGGTTTTCGGGGTGTCGGAATGTGCGGCTGGGACTCTAGAAAGTGTTACATAGCAGGTATGAATGCTATGAATGCCATGAATATGATTTTGAAATGTTAGCTACTGATAAAATAACAAATTGGACCCTTTGATTTGAATATGGGCCAATATTGGCTTATATTAAGCGAAGCACGTTCCATGAACCAACGAATCGGAAGCCCTATATCAGCAGCCAGACTTGGTCGGCCGTTATGAAACAACATGAAGTAAGAATAATAACGAGGTCGTGAGTCTTTGATCTTTGCCACAATTATGAGCAGCCAACGGCTACCATGAAACCGACACGGGGTTCTATGGAATTAGTTGCCAATAAATACTAGAAGCAGAATATAAAGTAAAATTGCTCAAAACATTATTAGGGCTGGAAACATTTTGTACATTAAAGAAAACCCCCCATTCAACATAGTTCAAGTATCAGAACTGCAGAATGATGTATTCGTTCAATTACTGATTGTTATCGATCTTTGTTATCGTTAAAGGCTTCAGTTAATATTTTAATTGTTATTGATTGGATAAGCGTTTCTCTAGTAGAGTATACTATACAAGATACCTACATGCAAAATTCGTTGTCTCTAGTTATTAGAAACACCTCGTTTCACGATCGATATATATCGATCTTATGGAAATGAGCGAAGAAATCGATAATATATCGATATAATATACTATAATAATAAGACTTATACACATCCATAGACCTAGTCAGATCGATTTAATATGTATATAGATATATTAAAACATTATTGGACTGGAGAGTAAAGTAAAACTCTTGCGAATATAACTCGTGTAAGAGAACAGTCGTCTTTTGAAGTCTTGACATATTGGTTTTATCGATATTTTCACTTCGATTGGCTGTGTTATCGATCTTTTGTTTATTAAATAATCGCGGTATGTCTGCTTTAGCGCCCCCCAAAACAAAAACACTTTCGTTTATTGAGGTTTTCAGAAATTGAGTCTGAAAACTGAAATTCCCATTGCCATTTCGGGCGCTTTCATGCATAATTCGGCAACACGGGGCCCTGATTTGTATTTATGTATGGGGCTGATGCTCGATTTTTATCCGTGTCATTTGCATGCGGCGCGAGTTTTAAGTAATTCCGGATTACAAATGCGGCGCACGGCAATTTTGGTTTGCTTTGGATTTTAAGCAATGGCCATTTTCATTGAAAGCGAAACTTAAACCGCAAACCAAATTGATCAACCACTTGTCCAGTTAATCGGTTTATCAGTTAATCTGGGCAGCAATTTATATGGCTATACAAAGATATACAAAGTATGCACATTATTTATATGCACATTATTTTGCACACTTGACTGGCGCCCCCCTCCTCACCAGCTGGGAGCCCATCGCCCAGGTGCATTGACTTTTCAAGCACGTGCAGGCGATGCTGATGCATGTCTAATGCCAGGCGACTCAACGTCGATCCACTGAAGCCCATGGCGATCCGTTCCGAACGACACGATGTGATGGGTTCATTGTCCAGCCATTTAGTTGGGCATTGCAGCGCGGGCGCCATTTGTTGCCACGTTGGGCTGCCAAATCCGCATGGCCAAGACGAAGACGGTCATAAACTACGCTCAAGGCTTGGCCCCAAGTCTCGCGGCCCCCGCCGTTGTCGCTTTTAATTATGCAGAACACGCCACACTGCAAACAAAGCCAACTCACAAACTCACAATTTGAAAATGCATTCACCTGGGCTCGTTTACCTGCCCAGCAGCTCCACTGCCGACCAATAATAAAGAGCAAACACTCAACAGCGGGTCGAGTGCAGCATAGGATTCCCAGGCCTCTGACTGTCAAAAGTCCTTAGCAGACCAGTCAGCTCATTAGCTGCACATGTCCATGCGCATCTGCAGTTGAACCCTTAAACTGGGCACGCGGCACTCTCTAAGCCAAGTTCATAGGTGGCCGCGGGCCAGTCCTGGCTGCCATGGCTAATAATGTACGTCATCAGGTTGATCAGCTAGAAACAAGTGAGCCACACTCCCGACTCCTAGACACTCAACAGCGTACTTTGCTGTTGCCTCTAGACAAACGCCTTTTCCCGTTTTCGTAGCTTTAAGCATAACATGAACCCATTATCTGTTGGGGCATTCTTCAAGCCAGAGTGCATAGAATATCAAATTGTATAGATCAGATAGTCGGTACATTTTTGCCATACAAAAGATTTTGTTTGTTTTGCCATACAAAAGATTTTGTTTACATTTGAGTTTGCTTTGTCTTTAACTTGCTTTCAGTTCTTTATTTTGTTTTCTGTTATTTTTTCTTAGGCTTACATCAATCATTTGACATATTCCAACTTTCATCTCAATCAATATTGTTTTCACCTATTATATTGTAATATGTCACATTATTTGCGATTATATGTTCAAATAATAATAATGCTCAGGTGTTTATTTGATATTGATTGATTTTGATAGATTTCTTTAATCTATATTCTCTTGCATTCATTGTATACTCTTCTGCCCCTACTCTCTAGACATATGTATGTATATATATACATACATATGTCACTTGTTTTTACCCTCCTTAACTTGAGCAGCGAGCTGGAAACCTCGATGTTCTTACCTCAAGTGGTTTGTTTAAGTCGGCAGAAAGCATCAGGCACGAAAGGTGTACAGACAATGCATATTAAAGTGGTTTTTTGTTGCTTTGTTTTTTTTTTTTGTTTTTCCCATCCCCTCTGCCCCATATCCTATAAAGAACGCCCCAGAGCCAGAATGTGCAGCGTCGTGACAATGACTTCCTACTTCCGTTTACGATTATTGCGATCGTGTCACGCTGCGTTGGCGTACAAATACGTGAATGTGTTTATGTGTGTGTGAACGTAGACGTAATGTAATTATGGCCCAGCCAGAGCCATAGCCAGGCTTTGAGTCGCGCCCAACTACTTTTACAATGTTGGCCCCGGCGCATTGGCCTTTTACACACACACACACATACATCGACACACATAACAATACACACACACATACAAGTTGTAGATAACACGCTGAGCTTTTGTTATTGTTATGCAGTCGCAAGTGCTTAGCCATACACTGAGCGAAATAATGAATAGTGAATATTTAATAGATTTTTGAAAAATCTTTATTCTTTTTCTATTCATACTGCAATTCACGTTTTTTTTTTCTAAATAGGTAATCGCTTCTTTTACTTTTTACCTAACATTTCTTGCAATGCTTGAAGCTTGCAATTCCCAACAAGCTAAAGCCTTGAAAGGGGAATAAGGGGTTTACAATCTGAGAGTAAATAGCACAGTGTGTTAATAATTCAACTGAAAGATTCTTGTTGTTTGTTATTTGTATAACAAAATATTCAATATTAAGCCGGCCAGCTTTTACTTTTTATTATACTTAAAAGTTGTCAAACTTTAGTCAAGTTTCGCCAGTTTCCAAAACGAACTCGTTTTGTTTGCGCTGTGTAGACTAAGTATCTTTTGTGCCATCGGTTTTCAGTTGCAGTTGCAGTTGCAACAGTTACCCTTTCCAAGAACCAACAACTCCATTTTTCATTTCTAGTATTTGTGGTTCGGCTGCAAGTTCTATTTCTATATCTGTGGCTCTTCCTACGTGTGTTGTAAATAAGTCAATCAACTTTGTTGCGTTCGCTGGGCACGTTCCAAGCAAATTACGCATTGAAAAAAACCCTCTGGTTTCTTAAAGATATGTTGTAATTACATATGGAATAAGTTCGTGAACGTTGCAAGAAAAATGGTCGACTTAACAGCAGCCGATTTAGTTTTTTTTAATAAACACTTGTACCGCATTAAGTTCCCAATAATAAGTGCAAATTTTCAACAAATATTCCGAGATCAAGGACAAAGTGGTTTTTCCTGCGCCGAAGTTCTCAGTAGCTAGGAATTTTTACAAGTCCCATCTATACCTTACATTTGTACGTAATAATAATTCGAACTATTCTATTCTTTATTATAGGGCTCCGATCCTCGAGCGGCCACCTGTCGTGGCAAATTGCAAAGTCGTCGCTGTAAACTGAACCAGGAAATTAACAAGGAGCTGCGCTTGCGCGCCGGTGCCGAAAATCTATACAAGGTATGTTTCTATCTAAAGTCTAATTGTTTTTGATGCCCATTAAACCAGAAAGACACAGATGTTAAACCCATATCCGATTCTCTTAGTATTCCAAAGAGAAGTAGCCGCTTTATGTATATATATATATATATATATATATATATATATATATATAACATATATATATGCTTAACATGTTACATCGGAGGAAACTCAGAACATAACCCAATCAACTTTTGACCCGCGTTTATCATCTAAGAGGGGCGGATTTTGCGTAGCAGATAAATTTTCACAAAAATCTTTGAAAATAAGTTTGAGGTTAGTCAGTCGGAAAACACAGTTTAAATATATAGAGATAGGAATTATTGGTATGAAAAATTTTGTTTTTACAAATATCTTAAGGAGCTTTACAATTCTCATCGCCGATAGTATATATATTCTAGATCAGAATCAACAGCCGAGTTGATATGGCCATGTCCGACTGTCTCGCTATCGTCTTGAAACTTTGCATAGGTCTGTTTTTCTGTTATCAAGATATCTTACGAAAAATCTGCATTTATAGATTCCACTATGCTTCCTCCATATATGATAAATCCTCTCAACATCAGACCTCTATATCATATGGGTGCTATAGTTTTTTGTATAGAAAATTGTTTGCTTATCAAGATATCTTGATCAATTTCGGCATTTACAAGTTTCACTTTGTCCCTAACATATATGCGAAGCACTATCAAATCGAAGCACTATATTATATAGCTGCGATTCGATCGATCTGTCGAAAAGTAGGTTTTAGTTTGGAAAGCTTAGTTTTATTTAGATAACTTGACCAAACTCGGGACTTTTTAGTTCCACCATCATCCAATACAAAATCTTCTGAATATCGGACCACTATATAATGTAGCTGCGATATGAACGATAGGACGAAGAGTAGGTTCTTATATGCAAAATATTAGGTTAGGTTCGGCTGTGTCGTGGGAACATAATTCAGTTATTGAACTTCCGAGTAAATGTATTAACTTGAGCATATTATTATTTAATTTGACTTGCAGGCAACTACAAATCGCAAGCTGCGAGACACTGTCGCTCTGGAGCTGAGTTTCGTCAATTCCAATTTGCAGCTGCTCAAGGAGCAACTGGCCGAGCTGAACTCATCTGTGGAGATCTATCAAAGCGAGAGGTGAGGGATTTAGTGATTAACTGCTCCACTGGGCGCTGTGATGCCCAAAATCCACCTGCGCCCATTTCCCCGAATAATTTGTTGCCATTATTATATTTTTATGCCAATTTATGTACTCTGTTTTTTTCGTTTGTGCATGCAAATGTTGAAATTTGTAGCTTTAGTTTTCGCTATAGTTGCCCTCTGCTGTTTGGCTTGGGGTATGCAACAACTATGGGGCGCTACCCAGCTGGGCAGCTGTAATTTTTGCGCATTAGTTTCTGGTCAAGCGCCTTTTTGCGCCGTCTACTGGAACGAAATCACAGCAGAGCAAAAAAAAAAAAAACAAACAACAACAAAGAAAGTGAAAAAGCGTCATTAAATGCACAACTGACAAAAATACAAATATGAAACAAACAGCAGAAAAATGTATTTCCACAATAGCCAAAAAAATCAAATTACATACTTACATTACGAACTCCAGTATTGATGTGCCTATAGTTAGATTGGACTTCCAGGGTTGGGCGCACACGAAAATTGAAGATGGGCAATAATTTAAATAGATATACATACGTCTAATTAGACAGTAGATAGTTAAATTATTCGGTTGATTAGATCTGCAAAATTGATATTGGACTAGATTAGTTGAGGAAAGTTAAAGACCTGTTCCAAATAATTAGTAAAATTTAGATAAAGTGCTTAAATAATTGGATGTTTTTAAGCTTGTTATGACTATCAATATATTTTTAAGAAATTCGTATGTTACAAGCCGGCTAAATTTAACTTGATCTGCTTCCGATCTTCCAGAATAATTATCAATGCATATTAGATTTGAATAAAAACATTATTTTATATTAAAAGAGAGTACAATATTAACATTCGCTTAACATTTCGCCCACACAGTCATGAAGGCATAATGCCGATGATACCATTGGGCCTCAAAGAGACCAAGGAAATCAATTTTATGGAACCATTTTCGGACTTTATATTGGAGCATTATAGCGAAGAGCCCTCCATATATATGGATGCCATAGCCGATATGACAGACACCAGACAGGTAAATATACAGTTTTTTACAAATTATCGCAATCGAAATTATGCAATCGTTGCTTACCTATCGATTTCCCCGATAGGCTTCCAAGACGCCATCGCGTGACGCTCTTGGCGTGGCACTTCTATTCCGTTATTACAATCTTTTGTATTATGTGGAACGGCGCTTCTTTCCGCCCGATCGCAATCTGGGCGTCTATTTCGAGTGGTACGACTCGCTGACCGGTGTGCCCTCCTGCCAGCGCACCATTGCCTTCGAGAAGGCCTGCACCCTGTTCAATCTGGGCGCCATCTATACACAAATCGGAGCACGTCACGACAGGCGCACGGAACGCGGCCTGGACGCTGCCGTCGACAGTTTCCTGCGTGCTGCCGGCATTTTCCGTCACATCTACGACACATTCACCAATGCACCATCGATGGACCTAAAGCCGCAGGTGCTCGATGTTCTTGTCTCGCTCATGCTATCCCAGGCACGCGAATGCCTCTTCGAGAAGCTACAGCTACAGATCGAGGCTCTGGGTCTGACGGAGTCCAGTCATGTAAGTCTGCCAACTAAACGTACATTATTATCAAATTACATCCAAGTATTTAGAGTATCAGAGTAAGCAGGAATTGAGGCGGAGTTTTTGATTGTTTTTTTTTGTTTTGAGAGGGACCACCGCTGGAAGGTGGAGTCTCTCTTTTAACATTGAGCATAGACTAAAAGCTTGTTACTATAAACCAATTTTTTTTCTATTGGACAATTGACTTGGTTCAGGGTTCGGTTCAACGCGCAGAATAAACTAGAATTCCATGTCGAAACCGGTTAGGTTCAAACCCAGCTTGCAGCCTTTTTTGAATGTCTGTCAAAATTTCAGATGAAAAACTTGCCATAAATTAAACAGTTCGCTTTCAAGTATTGCCAGCCTTACAGGTGTATAGTGTTGGAAAACGTACAACTTTTTTTTAATTGGGGAAGCTACAAATATAGAAACCATTCGGTCGAAAGCTCATCAATGCAAATGTGGTACGTTGGCTGCAATTTACACCTTAAATCAACCACGAAATATTAGCAGAGACATTTCAAAAATCTTTTCAAATGAGTTTGCTTCTACTGGCCAGAAGGATGGCAAGAAATGCAACTATCAAACACGAGTTGAGAATTCGTAGTTGTCTTTCGAAGTCGTGTCCAATTTCCATTGGCAAAGTAGCCAAGCTTAATTGAAGCAGCAGCTGCTGGGGTTTATTTTTTATCAATCGCATGAGTACGTGAGTCTTGGCCAAAGAGCACAGTGCCAATTGCGGCAGGTGCGTGTGTACCGAGCATAGTTTGTCGAGTCGAGTGACTGAAACAAAGATTTATCTAGAATGCATGCCAGCATTTGAGGCCGTTAGCTGAAATGTGAAGTTGTGTTCTGATGTCATTAGCTGATCATATTACCAACAATTGCAGCTCTTTCGGGACTTGGCCGGCGAGGCGGCACAGCTGTCGCTGGAGTACAATGAGATGCACAAGAACATCCAAGTGAATGACACGCACACCTATCTGCCCGAGTGCTGGGCGGGTCTGGTGCCGCTCAAGGCCGAACTGTACAAAGGTAGGTGTTGTCACAATTCTTGGCCTTGATATTGGCCAACAGTTTGACTACCAATTGACTAATACCGAACCCACTTGGCTGCCAATCCAGCGCTCGCACATCATTACGAGGCGCGGAGCATTGATGCCACTGTGGGCGATGGCGACAATGTCTCGCTGGGCACCAAAAAGAGCCAGACGGCATCATCGAACGAATCGTTCATTGGCAATGCGCGGGAGGCACTGCGTGCCACCGAAGCCAGCAGTGAATGCGAGGAGGAGAGCGTCAGCGCTGCTGCCATTAAGCGCACCCACTTGAAAGAAGCTCTGGCTAGTCATGAGGAGGCGCAGCGTTTGCAGCGCATGTGCCGCTACCTGAAGGTGAGTCACTTGCCACGCTGCCATCTGGCCCATATCTTACTCATGCCATGCCCATTTGTCCGCTTGCAGAACAAAACATCACTCACGCAGGTCATCAAGGAGGCCTACTACAAGACCCAGGACGAATATGAACGATTCTCCCTGCAAGCGCCGGCCAAGAACATTGAAGAGTGCTACGATCTGACCGAACGCACCGTGGAAGGTAATAATCAATCAAGCCAATATCTTTACGGGGGATTGAGCTGTTTACTTCCTGCTCAGAGTGTGCTGACCCACGCACAGCCCTCTGTGCTAGGCAAGCAATCTGCTGGGGCCTGTCGACGAATATATATTGTAGTCGATATCCTCTTTCATTTGCCATCCCCCTTCATTTCGTAATTAGTATTATTAACAAATTTAAAAACTTGACATTTTCTGACAAATTCGAACCGGCAACCTCTCGCTTGTTAGTTCGATCGTCACACATCCAAGCCACACGTGTCCATGATGTCGCTTTCTCAAATCACATTATTATGTGTGTGTGTGCTGATGTTTGTGTTTCGGATGTCATTTATGCAAACTTTGAATAAAGTTTTTCCCACTTGAAGGTTGAATTTTCCGTAACTCCGTCTTAGTACTAACTTGAGCTCGTAGCTCTTAAGATTTGGGCTTTGCGTTGTTTAACAGTCAGATAAGAAAACCCTTTCCCCTTTTGTTGTTTGCAGCATCCTCGAAGTTTACGCTGACATTGACGGGTCCGGATTTTACATCGTACAAAGTGGAAGATCCCTTCAAGCGACTGGGTCCCATTGCAATATTCTCTGCACGTCGCCATTGGACAGCGCCGCGTTGTGTGCGCCTGCAAAAGGGCTCGGCCATATATCATGATGCTAGTAGCTACCATTGCCACTGCCCCAGAGGCGATGAGAGTCACGAGGCGGGCTGCAGTCTGTACAAGGAGGAGCTCGAGAATTTTGGTTTTCACGTGCGCGGCGATGCGCCTGTGATAATAGCCCATGTCGAAATCAATTCACTCGCGGATGTGAGTATGCACCTGCTCTCATTGTTGACTGAAGCAAACTGAAGCTCTTTTTATATTCATTCGCAGTTGGGCGGCATCAAGGAGGGCGACTTTATTGTGGAAATAGCGGGCATGGATGTCAAGTGGTACTCGCATCAGCAGGTGGTGCGGCTCATACAATCGTGTGGTGCAGCTCTGGAACTTAAGGTCATTACGCCCATGGATCGTAACTATCTAAAGGTGAGTTTGGTTGCGTATTGCTTGGCATTTGCTTACGTATTCTATTTTTTTTGATTTGCAGCCACTCTCGTCGAAGGGCTCCATATCAACGCTATCGGCTGCCAGCTCGTCCGGCGTTTCATCTGGCTCCTCCAGCCCCACCAGCACCACCACCAAGCCTAAGCTGCGGCTCAAGACCTCCGCGAAGACGCGTTTCGTGGGCAGCGTATCCTCCAGTTCGTGGAATCCCTTTCGACGCACACCGAGTCTAGCGAAGATCTTTTAAGTGCTATCAAATCCATTTGCACTGGGGATTTCTTATTTTAAGTTATGCTTTAATTTCCGTAGCAGTGGCCATTATTTTGCTTCAACGCAAAGTGGATTTTTTTTTATAAATATATATACATATATATACATGTACTTATATATGCTATTACCTAGTAATCCCTGCTCAGGCCAATTATGACTTGGCAACTGTAGTTTTCTGCTATGCCCCCACTGAATTCCATTTATTTTCCGCCAGCATGGAAAATATCTGTGAGAATGCGAATGTACCAGGCATAACTAGCGGTATTCCATATGTCTGTCTATAATATATGCAGTGCCCCCCCCCTAAACGGAATTGGAAATTCAGTTAATTATTTACAAACATTTTGTGCAAAATGTGTTTAACACTTGAGAGAGAAATAGAGTTGAGAGTAAGCGCCGCATATCCCAAAAAGTATTTACATATTTCATTATATGCATGCATGAATACAATATGTACATATATATATGCATATATATAAATATATATATGTATACATATATCTATTATTTAATTTCGACCTACAACATGCTATGCGTTATTGTATATTTAAATCGATCCATATTTTAACGTGTTTTATCTTAGTGTATTGACATTGAGTTACTTTTACGCACATTTCTAATGTATATATGTATATTATTAAGTCACAATTATTTTGTATACATTTTGTAAAAGCCATTTTATACAACAAACATACATACTTATATACAATACGTACATAAAGACGCGTATTGGAGAGTACATATTTTATTGCATTGATAAAATATTTAATAATAAATTTTTTTGTGTGTGCAAGTCAATATTCATGTTGTGACTTATTTAAGGAAACTTATTTACGGAAAATCAAAATCCCAAAGATTTATGACGTATTTGTCAGAAAATAAATCTCGTAAACGCTATGCTTGTTCAAGATGAACGAATTTTCATCGAAGAACTTATTAGAAAACCCCCATAATTATTGAGGGAATGTTTTTACCATCTTAACAAATAACTAATAATTTATTTCAACTTTAATTAAAACATTTCTTTTGCTGTAGAGTAAGCTTTGTGCTGTGTGTGGAGCGAAGTCCACGAACGGGTAAACCCAAGGTGCTGCCTACCTAGTTCTTCCTGGCGTTCTCAAGGGTCTCTTTTACCAACTTAGGAATGCTGTCGAGTTCCTGCACCAGCAGCATCTGTTCAGCTAAATTGGCTCTATAGATGCGCTGTACTCGGCGTATCATTGGCGCTGTCACCATGGTATCGATCATATCCTTGGCGCTTAGCTTGAAGCCATCCACGATCATAGTAGGACCATCATTAATGGCGTTTTTGTTGGGCGTCACTGGACTATTCTTGATGGGACTGGTCAAGCCCAGTGATGGCAGTTGGTGCTCGTGTTTTATGCCCTTTGGCGGATCGTTTATTTCGTCCTTGCGCCCCTGCGCATTTTGCGTGCTGGTGGAGTCCGTGGTGTAGAGGTCATACATTCTTGCCATATCCTCGTTCATTTGAATCAAAGCCGAAGTGGAATCAGTTGAAGTGTAGTCAAATTTTGTTGGCTTTTTATAGTAGAGCAGATCAACCAGGCTGTCGCGTTTTCTGTCACGCTCCACGCTCGATTCATTTGCAAACCTTGCATTCTTGTACAGCACACGATCTCCGCTAGGGCCAGGGTATTGGCTCGGCTTCGGAGCACGTCCAGGCTGCGGCTGCTGCTGCTGCTGTTGGGACTGTGACAAGTAGACCATGTCCAAATGGTCAATGGGTGGCACAAATTTGGACTGATTATAACTGCGCGCTTGTAGCGGATCCTCTTTGGTGGTATTGCCATATCCCGGCACACGTTCAGATATCGGATCCAGATCTTTATTTGGTAGTGTAGGCACATCTTTGACGACATTGCTGTAGGTGCGCTGATAGCCAGTATGATTCTTGTGATGAGTAGGAGGAGCAGGTACTTCCTTGGTTGATTGAAAATTGACCTGCTTGGGATTACGCTTTGGAATGTAGTCCTTCGTTAATGGAATAGGCAACTCCTTGCGGTAATAGTCCTTTGCAGTTGTGTCCACGGTAGCCGGAAGTTGAGTATGCAGCTCCTTGTCCCCGTTGTTGGTAGACTGCATGCGATAATCCCTTGGCAGGCGCAGAGCCCCAGGTGGTGTCTGGCCCTTGGCAAGTAAATCGGGCCGCTCAATCGGCTCGTGCTTATCCTCCGTCTGCTGGTGCTGCTGCTTGCAACATCTTTGACTGAGTCCATCCGTTGCCAGAGACGGCAGCTCCTTGTGTGACAACTTATGGCTGTTGTACTGCTTCTGACAATCCCTGGGGAGACGGACCTCGGCAGGCTCAGCAGGCGGCTCCACGCGTTCGTTGTATCGCTGATATCGCTGCGGCATCGGCTCTTCCATTGGCCGAGACGGCTCCCTGTTCACGTTGCTGTATGTGGCCTGATAGCGAGGCGGCCTTTCGTAACGTTTCGGCACCTGGCCTGCACCTGACGAAACGGGAATATCCGTGCAATCCTGCCGAGCGTTCTGGTCGTTCCTCTCGGGTCGCTCGTAGCTCAACTGCTTGGGACGTCTTTCAGTCGGGCCCTCGGGCAACTCGGCGTTGGTTTTCTGTAGCGGTTGTCTGCCGTACTGTTTGCGATAGTCACTTAGGAGGAGGTTCTCGGTCGGATCGTTCCTGTTGTAACGCTGATAACTGCATTGCCCGTCGGGCCCGTAGCCGGATTGTCGTATTGAGCCGTCGGTCTGCTGAGCTGTCGACTCCCTGTTGCAGCGTGGACAGTCGTAAAGCAAGGTTTGCGTTGACTTCTCGCATTCAGGACGTGGCCAATACCGATCATCGTACATAGCTTGGAGGTGTAAGCGCGATTTGTTGCCTGCCTTCGAATGCATAACGCAACCATCTTCCGGTTTGTCCACACGACCCATTTCGCAGTAGTGCTGATCATTGGGCGCCCCGTTCGACTTGTTGGTCTGCAGGTCACATGATGAATTGCAACAGGATTTGACGACGAACATTAAATAGGTCCTGGTTTACTTACCCGACGATAATAACAACCTTTATCCATGTTCGAAACAAAATGTATTTGTTAGTATACTTAGTATTTCAAGGCCCCAACTATTTTCAATACAAAATATATATATATTTAGAAAATAGAACGTCTTTTGGATTGAAACTCCAGTGAGATAAAACTTGTTGAGCAACCTCCTATTTTTCTAGGAAAAGCTGATGATATGTATATCAAAGTAAGCTGGGTCGCAAAAAATTTCACTTTGGAGTCTTTGTAAAAAACTGGCCAATAAATGTATTTTTGGGAAATGTAGTCTGAAGTCGCCCGACTTGTTTCAGTATATATCAGAGACTGACGAATTTTTGAGGAGCTGCCTCCGTTTATATGCACAATTTAAGACGTTTATGTCGAAGCTATTTAGATCGTTAAAGTTATTTTGGTTTCTTTTTTTAAATTTCACTTGACATATCGCCATAACCCAAAGGTTTGGAGTTTTGGAAATAAATAATAATACATTTTTAATAAAGCAGTTATAATTTGTTCGAGAAAAGCTAATACACTTTAGAGAATTCTAAGCAATTCAATAAATAATGTTAAAAAAAAGGTATTTCTATAATATAACTAACAAATAATTGTTATGATTCCCACGTAAAGCCCAACCAGTCGCCTCTCGTCAGGCAGACAAGACCCAGTACACAGCATTTGGAACAAAATGAAATCCATTGTGGAGTGTTTGTTGTTTTGTCAGGGCACACACACGGCACAGGACAGGGAACCCTGCTCTGTCCGGCTGCACTTATAACAAATAGCCAACAATGTCGTCATCGTCGTCCACGTTGTTGTCTCCAGCGATTTGCCGGCGCAGCTCGCAGCGACCCAGTGCCTCCAGGTACGGCTGCAGCACCGACATCGAGCGTCACTGATTATGCTGGTGCTGGTGCCTGTGGAGCGCATGGGCATTGGCCGCCAGTTGGTTAGAAGAGTTCAGAAATGGCGTTAGCAGCTCCATGGGCAATGGGAAAATAATTGTAGAGTTCTTTTCCGCCGAGATGCTGGCCAGCGTCTGCAGATAGCGCAGCTGCAATGCCGACGGACTGGACGATATGATCTCTGAAGCTTCCTTGAGTGCACGCGAGGACTTCATCTCGCCCTCGGCGGCAATCACTTTGGCACGCGCCTCCCGCGCAGCCTCCGCCTCGGCGGCCATCGCCCGTTGCAGCGCGGTGGGTAGCGAAACGTCCTTTCTGAATTGTGAAGAACAGAAAGAAAATCCATTTATTTAACTCCACCAAACTCCAGTGAATGCCAGCCCCTGTTATGCCCTTGCGAGAGGGTATTCTAAACTTGTCACGAATCTACACTCAGCAAAAAAACAGTCTGATATCGCATAAAAATTTATAAATACGGCTTTGAAAGAGATCTATAGCGATTTGCCCTAGTTTTTAAGAAAATATATTCCTTAAAAAAATTCCTAACAAATGTCTGGACAATGCTTTCTTAAATGAACATTTAGAAAAGGGTGTCTGAAACATAGAAAATGAATGCCTGAAAATTTGAAAATATTTTCTTTAAAAGAAGAAAAATCTTACTAAAATGATATAAAACATTTTCCTGTATATCCGAATAAATTTGTAAGAATTTCAAAAAGAAAATTGTCAGATATTTAAACATTTTTTCTTTAAAAGTGATTTTCTAAAGTCGGGGACTTTGTTTTTGAGCCTAGTCTCGCAATCATAATAAAACTTTGCATGGGTCCTTCTTTCTGTTGTAGGCAGCACATATATTGTAATCAGCCTAATCAGCCATTATCTTAAGTAACTTTATATAAGGAATAGCTCGAAGCATTTGTTTTTGTGGGATAAACATTTAGTTTTTGTTCCTAATTTAGAGATAGTCGTTCTTTCTTGTTGCCAGTGTTGCCCTGCCGTGTGCACTTACATTTCCACACGTTCCACCTTGACGCCCCAGGGATCGGTGGCCTCGTCCAGGGACATTTGCATGGTATGCGAAATGGTCTCGCGTTCGGTGAGCAGCTCGGACAGGTTCCGTGTGCCGAGCACATTGCGCAGCGTCGTGGCAGCCAGCAGGCGTGTGGAGTGACTATAGTTGGATACCTGAATGACAGCCTTGAGTGGATCGCTGATGCGATAATAGACGACCGCATCGACGGTGACAGTCACCGAGTCCTTGGACAGCACCTCCTGTGGCGGCACATCGAACGAGACGGTGCGCAGATCCACCGGATAATAGTCGTCCACGCAGGGCAGCACAAAGAAGACGCCCGGACCACGGGCTCCACCGCTGCGCAGACGGCCCATGCGAAAGATGACCGCACGCTCGTACTCGGAGACCACCTTGAAGCAGATGAACACCGAGAAGGGAAACGTCAGAATCATGATCAGCACCGATATGGCCGTCGCCAGCAGCTCCACACAGCCCATCTCATCGTTCTCGGCTGGAAAAACAAGTTGAAAGGAGCCACAGCATGCGAGGCATACATTAATCGCTAAATTTCACAAGCAATTGAAAATCAATTGAAGGCACATTTCATGACGTGCCGTCGCACCACCATCAGGGCGAGGGGTTAGCGGGCTACGAGCGGGTTGTGCCGTCTGCCATATGTGCATTGCGGCACTTGTTGCTGTTCAAATGGAAAACGCAAATGTTGTTTTATGCTGCCTCGGATTTCCGTTTGTTGTTCAAGACTGCAGACTGACGGGCAACTGATTTTTAACGAAAACGGGCACAGCACGACCAGAGATCGGACGGAATCAGCCAAAACACTTGGCCATTAAACATGGCAGCAACAATATTGTTTCCATTAATATGGATACAATTAGAAGCAGAACATAATTAAACTACTTGGGTTCTCTGCAAAACAGCTACAAAAAGCTGTCCTCTGTAGATGAGCTGGCCAAGTGGGCCACGAGGATCGAATCCCACTGGCAGAGCCTAGCGGAAGCAAAAAGGAGACGTCTCCGAACCCATAACCCATATTCCTGATCTGTATCGATAGCCGAGTAGCTATGGCCTGTTTGTTTCTATGTCTTTCAGTTTGCCTCACCTCCGTCAATCAGAAGCAGCCTGATCTACTGATCGGACCGCTATATCATGAAGCTGTCATAGGAATGATCGATCGAAAATGAAGTACTTGTGTAAACAAGTTTTTGTTTTTCACAATATCTTAAACAAAATGTCAAAATGTGGCTTTCTAGAAGGAATCGTATTTAAAAATGTTGTGATTTTTGAACGATATGTAGACAGTTTCTTAGTTGCAATTTAGTCTATAATGATCTTAACTAGAACTTAAAATAAAGACAAAAGGCAGAGTATGAGCCTGGGTGGTATGGGCCCCGGACTATCAAGAGAGCACCGGTCCAAATGATGCCTCAATTTTCATAAAAAGTATTAGTACAGCTTATTGCGGAGATAACAAGTGCAGCAACTCAGGGAAGATCGCAGAGATCGGAGCATAGATGCAATAAAACTGAGACTAAGTGAAGTTTTATGGCCAATTCTTAGGGCCGCAGGCAAAATTAGCTGAGAGCAATTGGTAAAACAAATAGTTTTTGATCTTCAAGAGCCATGAGGTGCGTATGTCGGCATATTGTGCCTAACTACATAAGTAGGCATTTGCTTATTGCTAAATTAACCCCTGGCCCATATCTGTGCACATGAACACGCCCGTAATCGTGCGTATTGTTTATGTTTTGGTTAAAATTTCAACGAGTGCTGGCAGTTTGAACTAATACCCAGCCCAGAGGTAGCTAAACAATCGCCTTGGGGGCCAGGCCACGGCAGGGCAGGCCAATTGGAATGTTTATGCAGTACGAGTAGATGGTAGCCAATAGTCGGTCTATAGACGGGGAGCACGGTTATTTTCAGTTGGGCTTTTGTTTATCTTATAAGTTTCGACAATACGAATTTATATCCCGTATCCGTATACGGATCGGTGCGTTGCGTCGCGGTGCGGTGCGGTGCGGCGCGGCGCGGCGCGTCTGTTATTTATTTTTACTTGTCGGCGCATAGTTTATATTGCATACTTCATAGGTGGTCGCTGATCGATACAATTCAATATGGAACTGGCATCGACTGGCATCCAATGAATCATTTTTATCTTCGACCGTCGCGGTAAAGCGAATCGTTTTACCGCCCGTTTGAATTATGATTTTCCGTTCACATAAATATGGAATTTGTGCAAGATTTAGGATGAGATCGCGCACATACGAAAACTATTTGTATCTTTTGTAGTTGTATCTTTAGTCAGCCATGAACTAAACAAACGATCAACATGCACTGAGCAATGCGGCCAAACATTTACAAATTACAAATCCCCATATTACTTAGCAAATATTATAGATACCAAGGCATTTGGTAAAAATCAGTTGCAAGTATATAGATCATAACTTTGAAGAGAGAGAGTGAGAGAGAGAGAGAGAGAGAGAGAGAGAGATTTGTGTGAGCCGAACGGAAGAAATCTTTATAGATCAATCTGTAGATAAAACCAAGCCCATTGAAATGATAAATCTATAAATCTTTATATGTATATAAAACTGATTGACTCACTTTGAGAACTGTAAGAACAGAAAGGATGCAATCCCAAAGGATCAAACTGTAGACTTGACGAATATATAGATCATAGCTTCGGAGAGTAAGACTTGTGTGAGCCAAACGGACTAAATCTTTATAAAGCAGGAACTTAAGATTATTCCAAGCTCATATGAATGATATATCTTTTAATCTGTAGGAATAGAACGGAAGAAATCCTAAAAGATCAAGCTAAAGGATTGACGAAGTTCATTTGAATGCTATATCTATAGAACTATATAAACTGATATATAGACATATTTATGTTAAACAGTTTGTCCTGATAAACTGACTGATGACTGACTGATTGACTTACTGATTGAAGCGTACTGTGAGATTCGTAAGTACCAAACGGAAGAAATCCGAAAATATTAAACTGTAGACTAGACGAAGCCTATTTCATTTAAAATAGTTTGTTCGGATTGACTTTCTGCTTGACTGACTAATTGACTGACCAATTGACTTACTGATTGGCTGAAGGCTGGACTGACTCACTCACCGATTGACTGAGTGACTGATTGGCTAACTGATTGTTAATCAACACACAGTTAAATAAATTGAAATAAACAATTTTGGCCCTAGCCCATAAATCGTTTGTGTAGGATGTTCCAATGAAATTTAAGGATATGTTTCTGTGGAGAGTGTATACTTAGTTCTTACAGGTCTTTAGTCCCTGATAGGGATGTGTGGTGGAGCTGATCTGCACCGTGTGCTGCTGTTGCTGCTGTCCATGGTGATGGTGTTGGTGATGCTGCTGCTGCGGGCTCAGGGTATCCGGCGTGGTTTGCGTTTGACCGGTGCCTGTTCCGGGTGCGTTTATGTTGAGGCGCGTGCGATGCTGATGCGGCGAGGCAGGATGCATATCGAATTATGGATAGCTGCTGCTGCTCCTCTGATCGGATGGTCGAAATCGATAACGAAGCGCACGATGAGCACTGCACGCGTCCAGCGCACGTTTCCAATTGAGCAGCGGGCTGCTAGTCCCCAGCGTCGAGGCGAGGCAGTTGTTCGGCTCATTTCACACGTTGCCGATTACGGCGCCTTCGTCCCGTATCCGTCTAAAGAATTTCAATAAACATATATACACACAAGCCGTAGAGACGAGCGGCGGTGGCTGCAGCTTTCATTTTTTTTTGGATGTTCAGTTTTTCTTCTTCTGTTGTTTAGATTATTAGAAACGAACGAACTATGAGTTCTATGGAGATGGAGATAATTTATAAACCACTTCAGCAACAGAAAAAAATTGCTTTGCTCTTGTCTTCTTTTGGGGGCGACCTGAGGTGGCAGGCGAAGCTGCTGTGTCGGCAATGTAGCATGTTGTTGGACATTAATCAGGGAACAGCCGCTGGTGATCTATTAGCGAGAAAAGGTCAGGTGAGTTACATAATTTGACAACTGTGTCGCACACGAAGTCAAGAGCTCTGCAACTTTACTCCAATTCTATGGTCCTGAGAGTCAGGTTCTTGTATTTTGTTATATACAATATAATAAACTATCCTTTCCAAATGTGTTCTTGAGTATCTTTAAAATCGGAAAAGTTGTCCATAAAAAAACTCATTTTCCACTGATGCTTTCTATATAGCCATATTATTTAGTAGTTCTATGTTTTGTACCTGTTGAGAAGGATGCGTCTCTGACCCCATTAAGTATAGATATTCATAATCTAAACGACTCTTCGTCGGTCCTTAAGAGCTAGACAAATTTCATTTTCAAGTTCAATCAAGATCTCCCTGCTGAACATATGTTTTGTGAGAATCACACAGAAAGGTGGTCGTCCCCTTTTTTAATATATATTTCTTACATGCAATTATTTAGTCAAATCATCAAAGGTAATGTAACTATTTCGGTGATATGCTCCAAATAGCCAAATAAATCTTCAAGATAATTAATAATCATTTAGTTTGATAAATGGCAAAAAACGCAATCTGTTTACTGGCCAAAAAGTATCTAAAATGGCAATTGCTCATTAATTGAATAACGTAATTATTCCGACTGCTCAAGTTGGCGCAGTGCGTGTTCATTTTGCGGAATGTGAGAACAAAGAACACGCCTCAATGGCCCAGTGAAATCGTTTTCCCAATGCGTTTGAAATGTTTTGTTTACATTTGTGTTGGGCTCGTTTCGTGTTACGCATGTTTCGCGTATCCCATTTGGCTGCCAGAAGGCGTATTAAATCAACGTTCAATCAACGTATTATTATTGGTTACACTGCATTTGCTTTATTGTAATTATTTCGTTTATAACAAATTATTATGTAATAAATGCGCGCTTCGATTTTGTTTTCTGGGTATACCGATTGCATTTTTGATTTCGAATTTGTTTTTGTAAGTGGCCTAGATTAAATGCTTTGCCAAATAGCTTTCGAGATTACAAAGTCTATCAGTGCTGTTACCAGATACAGTTACAGATGCACTGATGTAAGTATATAAATTATGTGTACATGTGCACATAATATACATATATGTTTGATACAGCATTATTAGGAGCTGAGTTGGTAAGGCACATTATGGTTATAGTATAGTGTACAAATATTTTGTATAGTAATTTCATGATTGATTGCTAATTGCGCCTCAAGTTTTTCTTCTTTTTTTTTTCAATAGTATCTACAACTTTGTTGAAAGGTATAAATGTATACATATGTCTATATGGAGTTTTGTTTTAGAGATAGACACACATAAATCTAAATGCATAAACAAAATTTGAACCCATGTAATCAAATGCTAGCAATATTATCATAAAAATCAGTTTTTAACTTTTCAGTTTTTGCGCTACGTTCGAATCTTATCAAAATATTCAATTTGGCCGCTAGGAATATATATATAAAAATGTGTGTATGTATATATTCTTAGAAATTACTATTGCGTTTTAAAGCTAACACATATTTATGCAGCATGTCGGTACACACGCGCGCGTACACACACCTACATAAACATTTCATCTAGTGTTTTTCTCAATGTTTTTTAATTGACTGAGCAATGTGTATATTTAGCCAGTGCCTCTCTCTCCCCCTCTCGCTTTCTCTATCGCGTTGCACACATTCCTCTAGCTATCCTGCTCGCGCAATTGTTCGCAATTGTTGTTTGCATTCCATGCAAAATAAGAAATATAATAATAATAATAAACTTAACAACTAATAATCTTTCCAATTATTTGCTTTGCTTTATCAAATTCTCTTGCGCTACGGCAGCCGCGTGGCAGCAATTGATAAACAGCCAACACCGTCAGTAGCCCCTCCACCGCCGCTGGCAGCTCCGTTGCCGAGCCGCTGCTGCTGCTGGCGCCTTCGTCAATCGTTGTACATGCCGTCCACCAGGAAGTCCATGCGCCTGTAGTGGCGCGTTGTCCACAAGTCCCGAAAGCGCCGGTACATGATGATGAATACGGCTATGGCAAGTGGCACAGCTAGCATTATAGTTACAATGGGCACAATATACTCATTCTCGCCACGATTGGTCAAGCTGCTGCTCAGCTCCTGCACGGGCAGAACGTGTGGTGCAACGTTTCCAGCGCCTGTGGCAGCCGGATCCAGCTTTTCACCCTCCAGCTGTTTGTCCATACTGCTCGTGACGGTGGGCTTTTTGGGACGCATTGTCGTTGTGCTGGTTGTAGTTGTTGTGGTCGTTGTTGTTGACGTGGTGGTCGTGGTGGTGGAGGCGTTGGTAACGTTGGTGCTGCTGCTACTACTGTTGGTGGCGCTGCTATTGATATTAGCTGCTGGCGTCGTGATAGTGCTGCTGCTGTTGCTGTTATTATTCTCCTTGTTCTTGTTCTTGTTGATGTCACTCAGCGATACGCCATCGGCCAGCATTTTGTCCGTCTTGGCCGTTGGGTTTGTTTGCTTTGTTATCGCCGTAGTTGCTGTTGATTTGATTACCTGCGGTGCTTGCGTCGTCGTCGCTGTAGCGTTCGCTTTTGGTGCCGCTTGCACTGTGGCGGTATCCGTATTGGTAACGCCGCGCACGAGCACCACGGCATGCTCCTCCGTGCCGTTGACCTTGGCCGGCTTGTCCTTGTCCACTTGCGATTGATTGGCTACCGCCGTTGAGTTAGTAGGCTAAAGCTTGATATGCGCACTTTATTTTTACATTACCTGTAGCTGCAACTGTAATGGCACTGGAACCTACACCTGCATCTTTGGCAGTTGCATTGCTGCTTGGGCTAACCATTGCTAGTTTGGTCACATTGGCGCTAGCTGGGCTTCCAGTTGCGGTTTGATTAGTTCCTGCCAGCACCATGGCTGTCAGCTGCACTAGCAGCAGGAGCACCGGAAGCACGTTCATTTCGCGTGATGCAGTCGAGTGAAATGTGCTGTTGTTGCTAAAATTGGCAGCGTATTGCTTTTTGCTTTTATTTGGAATTACTAGGAGATCAGCTAAAGCGGAGATGGACAACTATCCGATAGTTGATATCGATATATGCCTAAATGTATTCAAAATACCGAAATATATTGCATGCCAATTCAATTTAATTCAATTCGAGGCGCAGTTTCTATTATATTAACAGAAATAATTTTGAATAAGTAACTAGCTAACTTTATGTTAACTGCCTAATTTTTAGATATCAATGACCTGTTTACTTGCTTCAGCTGCTGCACGAACTGCTGTCTTTTTTTAGAGCAAGTGTGGTAAGTTATTGAACAGCTGAGAACTTTAGTGCCGTCGAACTCATCGATAGCAAATCGACATGCTTTGCTATCGATATAATCACGATTATTTATACGCGCAAAATGATGCGCCAATTTGAATTATGACTTAATGGAATCCTCATGTTTGTATTAACGTGCGCTGATACCAACACACACACACATACACAAATCGAGTAACATGCCCAGTCCCAAAGATAAAAAAGTTCCTTCTTATGGTAAATCTTATTTGGCGACAGTGTATGTCAATATCAATATGTATGTATATTTATAACGTACTTTGTATAATTTCTATAATTATTTTGTATTTGATGGTTTATCTCTTTTAAATGGTTTTTGCTAATAATATATTCCTCCTCTCACTGATTTGTATGCATTTCGCCTAGGACTAGCGTTAGTTAATTGCTTTACTGAACAGCATAAAATGTAACTTTGTATTTTTTTGTTTTTTGGTTTTTTGATTTTGTACGCTAAACAACATTATTGCACATATTAGGATTAAAACATAGCCAAAAACTATGCGTAGAAACAAAACATTTCAAAGATTGGGCGGGGCTTTTTCAGATCCACCTACCTCCTCCTCTCAATGCATCAGCTCAATGGGGTCTATGATGTCGTGTGATATGTACGCCTCTTACTCATTGCTTGAAATGGTCTCATGGTTATTTGCGCAGCAGGTCCAGATTTAAGTACAGTTAAGATGCGGGATTTTAAAACAATAAAGCAGCACGCGCAGCGCCCGCTACGCTTAACGTATGATGCTGTTGCTGTTGTTGTTGTTGTTGTTGCAGTTGCGGTTGTTGCGGTTGTTGTTGCTGTTGTTGCTGTGGGTGATACATGCTAGTTGTTGTTCTTGTTGCGGTAGTTGGCGACTTCAACTCCTCCACTATGATGACCCCGTGCTCATCAACCATGTGGTTCAACAGTAAATTCTCAACCTGCTCGTCGGATAGTAATTCTTTGGGTTCTGAGGATCTGTAAAGTAGTTGTTGCTGTTGTAGTTGTGTCATACAAAAGAGATAGCCAAGGCAACAGATAGAATGAGCGCAAAAAGGGTGTAAGAGAGACAGAGAAATTGAAGTTGAAAGCAAAAAAAGTGATGAAAACTGTTGATACGGATCGAACAAGAAATACCGAAAAAATAAATATGGTCACACTGAAAGGTGCCTGGCTCCTTGAAATAACTGCCAATGAATTAAATTGAAATTTTAAATACAAAATTCAAAAGTTCGAATTGTAGAAACTATATACATTCTATATACATTTTCAAATAGTGATTGAAAATAAATACGATATGTACAAGTTATTTCATGGCGCCAAAATGCACACAAGCACACACACACACACATAAACAAACATATATAAATTAAATTTTTGCAGTACATACAAATTTTAGGAGCGGATTTTTGACTTTTGTTTTCAGTTTTTTTAGTTTTTTTTTTTTTAGTAGAAGCGTGCTTGCGTGCAATGCTGTTAGTTGTAGTTATAGTAGTTGATGTTGTTGTAGATTGTTATTGTTGTTGTTGTGGTTGTAATGGAATGTGTTTTTCAAAGAGCAAATACACCAAATCAAAGCAGCCAATTCGTTTTTTGTTCGAGCATGAGGAATTTAGTTAATTGCAGTAGCTGATTAGTTCTTGTAGTAGTTGAAGTTTGCAGTTGTTTTTTTTTTTTTTTGAGTGGGTGCAGTTTGAATTTTGAATAGCAGTTTAGCAGTAAATCGGATTATCGGTTATCGGTTATCGGTTATCGAGTTGTTTCCCGTGGCACCGATCAGATCAAATGAGCTTTGTCAGACGATTCTGCAGCGCGCACAGGATGCTGCTGCCACCGCTGCCGGTGCCGCTGGCGGCGCCGCTGCTGCGACCGTTGCCGTCTACTGACCTGCTAAATAGAAAGAAATCGCCGGCGCTGCTGCTGCTGCTGTTGTTGCTGCACGCGGATGCACTCACAGCTGCTGCTGCTGCTGCCGCCGCCGCCGTCGTCGTCGTTGTTGTTGTTGTGGCTAGCAAGGCATCCGCCTCGCCGCCATCGCTGGCCATTTCGGATTCGCTGTTGCGCCGCTCCAGAGTCCGTCCGACCTTCTGAAAGCCATAGCTGAACACATCCTTCACCTTGTCGCCGGCATCGATCAGCAGATCGAGGCTCTGCCGGCGGCCGCTCGTCTTGAAGCTGTTCGAGCGCGACAGCCACTGACTGAGGCTCTGCTTGCGGCTCATCTGCTGGCCGATGCCGATGGCGCTGCTGTCGTCCTGAAATATGGTTGTGCAGGTCACCTTGCGCTTGGGCTCATCCGACGATGAGGTCGAGTGCTGCGATTGCGCATCCGGCTCCAGGCTGCCCAGGCCGTAGCCCAAGCCATGACCGCCAACGTTGCCGGCGCCATCCAGGCCGTGCTGCTCCAGCAGCGACTGATTCGAGTAGCTCGAACTGGTGCTGTCCGAGTGCGACAACCGTATCTCCGTCCACTGATCGATGTCGTTGTCCGCTGGCGGCGCCGACGTCGAGGCGGACGCCGAAGCCGACGCCGATGCCAGTGAGCTGCTGCCGGACTCGGAGCGCGGCTTCACCTCGTAGGGACCGTGCAGCCCCTGCGCCTGTGCGAACATATTGTTGTCGCCATCCGTGGCACTGGTGCTGGCCGATTTGTGCATGCCACCGGCCAGCTTCTGTGGAAAGGTCAGCACCGCCTCGAAGTCGTGCAGCAGATGCGGGCATTCATGCGGATCAGCCTGACGTTGGCGCGGCGAGCTGGCGCCGCTGCCCAATCGGTCCGGCATGCGCAGATACTCATCCTCCAGCTGATCCTGCTCCTGCTCCTGCTCCCGCTCCGACTCCGGCTGCAGCTGCTGCTTAACGCCCGCTGTGAGCGCATCGACGGCGTCCACCTGCCGGAGCATTGCCTCGTAGTTGAGCAGATTGTTGCGCTGCTGCCGCTGCCTGTGTATATCCTCGGAGATCTGCTCCAGATTCTTCAGCGCCTCATTGTAGGTCAATTTGGCCGCACTGACCCGCGTCTCCAGCTCGTTGACGCGCAGCTTCTGCGCTTTCAGCAGTCCGTTGTAGTTGGCGCGCGTCTCGTAGTAGGGCCTGCATTTGGACAAGGGGCGAAGACGGGGCAGACGGGCGGGTGTACCGCATATTAGTGGGCGTGGCTAGGCAGCAGGTGAGGCATACTCACGAGCACAGGGTACAATACAAAGCGTGCAAAATGCTAAAGTATCTCAACAAAAGTAAATTGCGCCTGAGCTGCAATCTATGAAAAAGAAACCAAACGTGAAACGAAATAGAACCGAAAGGAAAACCAAAAGTTCAACCAAACCAAACCAAACCAAGAAGGATCAAAGCTAAAGCAGCCCGGCATGGCCGATGGCTGTTGAAAAATACCCTGGCAGAGCTAGCATTGTCCAGATCTAAATAAACGGAATACCCCGTCTTAAACATATTTAATGGGTACAGGACACAATATACATATATGAGCACAATAGTCTAGTATTCGCAACCGGACTCATGTTTTTAAGAATATTGCAAAAAACAAAATTAATATCAAAATATAAAAAGTAATATGACATACTTTCTCATTCAATATAGTATTATGTTATTATATAATATTGCGATCTCTCTAAATATAAGATGGATCCTAATATTCCTAACTTGCAAGTGCAGAGATAAACAATTGTTCATCGGAATGGAAACTTTATTATATAGTACTCGAGAATTTGCTTTAGGAATATGAAAAAAATCGGTGGTAGTCCGATATTGATCAGATGTGGGTCACGTTCTATAATGATATGGGATAATGGATATGTCCAGCAGAGACTATCACGGGATTTATGGCTAGTTGGATCAAGACATCCTCAAAACAGATTATACATATTATATGATATCGGGGGAAGCATATAAAGACTGTATATACGATAACGGGGGAAAAGCGTAACTAATTGAAAATAATAGAATATGCAATATGCGTTTCTTATATTTCATTTTGCACAAGGTTCGGGGTTCGAACCCCAGGCAATCCCTGGGTATAGTGGACAGGGTTATTCAATTAAATCAAGTAGTTGGATAAAATTTAGCTATAATAATAATAATATTAGAAGTAATAACAAAAATAATAATAATAATAATAATGATAATAATAATAATAGTAGCAATGATAATAATAATAATAATAATAATAATAATAATAATAATAATAATAATAATAATAATAATAATAATAATAATAATAATAATAGTAATAAAAGTAATAATAATAATAATAATAATAATAATAATAATAATAATAATAATAATAATAATAATAATAATAATAATAATAATAATAATAATAATAATAATAATAATAATAATAATAATAATAATAATAATAATAATAATAATAATAATAATAATAATAATAATAATAATAATAATAATAATAATAATAATAATAATAATAATAATAATAATAATAATAATAATAATAATAATAATAATAATAATAATAATAATAATAATAATAATAATAATAATAATAATAATAATAATAATAATAATAATAATAATAATAATAATAATAATAATAATAATAATAATAATAATAATAATAATAATAATAATAATAATAATAATAATAATAATAATAATAATAATAATAATAATAATAATAATAATAATAATAATAATAATAATAATAATAATAATAATAATAATAATAATAATAATAATAATAATAATAATAATAATAATAATAATAATAATAATAATAATAATAATAATAATAATAATAATAATAATAATAATAATAATAATAATAATAATAATAATAATAATAATAATAATAATAATAATAATAATAATAATAATAATAATAATAATAATAATAATAATAATAATAATAATAATAATAATAATAATAATAATAATAATAATAATAATAATAATAATAATAATAATAATAATAATAATAATAATAATAATAATAATAATAATAATAATAATAATAATAATAATAATAATAATAATAATAATAATAATAATAATAATAATAATAATAATAATAATAATAATAATAATAATAATAATAATAATAATAATAATAATAATAATAATAATAATAATAATAATAATAATAATAATAATAATAATAATAATAATAATAATAATAATAATAATAATAATAATAATAATAATAATAATAATAATAATAATAATAATAATAATAATAATAATAATAATAATAATAATAATAATAATAATAATAATAATAATAATAATAATAATAATAATAATAATAATAATAATAATAATAATAATAATAATAATAATAATAATAATAATAATAATAATAATAATAATAATAATAATAGTAAATTAATTTATGGTTCAAAATATCCGGTTAATATAATAATATGATAATACAAATATTTGTTTGTCTAATAATAATACAAAATATCAACAAATGTGAAATACTATAAAATGAAATAAATATTTCATATATCTAAAATAATTCCTATTAGGCGGAATATAAAAAGTTTCCTTCCAGCCTAACTGGAATGCACTTTCAATTAGCATTCCCATTGGAATTCACATGCTCTGCGAGGATATGCAGTTGGTATCAGAGTTTGGGCAAGTGTTTGAGATCAAGTCAAGATACCTGGAGGCGCGCAGCGCCTGCTTCAGCTGTCCCTGGAGCTTGCCCACGCGATTGTTGGCCACCTCGAGCTTCAGCTGGCACATCTTGAGGGCGTTGCGAGTGTCGGTGACTTCCAGTTGGGATTGGTTGACTTTGCTGGCCGCATGGCTGAGCATCTCCTGGCAGGCGGTGTCCAAGGTGGACTTCTCGCCGAGGCCCTGTTCGGCCAGATAAACCATTTCCTTGGCGGCGGCGTGTATGGACTTGGCCTTCTCGTGATTGGCCGCCGCCAGCTGCGTTTCCTTGGTCAGCTGGGCGGCATAGATGCGCGACTCGTAGTAGGGCTTGGCGGCGTCAATTGAGTTGCCCAGCTTGTGGGCGGCGGCCTTGATGCGCACCACGCTCTCCGCCAGCAGACGCTTGAACTCGCACTTGGCCTCCTGCACGGGCGGTTATATAAAGTGGATACTCAAGCGGAGCGAAAGAGAGAGCAAAAAAATCAATAACAACTTACATCGAGCTCCACTTCATATTTGTTGATATTGTCGGTGGCCGTGTTCAGTTTCTCCAGCTCGATCTGGCATTATGGGATCAATTATAGATATGGACACATATGTATGTATATATGAAATTCGGGCGCATACCTGGACACGCGGATCCACGGGCGTATTACTTTCCGTTGACATTTCAGCTGTTCGAACCACACGAACTTTGATTAACCGTCGAATGGAGAGATTTAGCAGTTGCTTGTCATGGCGGATGCAGTGCAGCAGTCACTGTTGTCGGTTTCTGATTGGAACTGTTTGCAGGTTTAACTATGTCAACTCGATTCACCAATTGGAAAATTAAGCGCAGCAGTTATTAGTTGAAAAAGCTTTTTGACAACAACAACAACAACGCGTACACACAGCACATAACGATGACAACACAGCGGAGCGGAGCTTTTTGCCAAATGCAAACAGACCAATACGAAAAAGCATCCCAGCTGACCGACCGAGAGTGTTTGCACTCTAAAAGCTGGCCTGTGCACGTTGGCTGCGTCATGCAGCTTGCAACTAGTCCAGCGAAAATCAATTGGCGTGCTTAATTATGCGTGCCACATTTGCGTATGCTTTGCACACATTGAAATTACTTGTGCCTAAATGTCTACATTATTAGTCAAGCTAAAAAAACACAATGTTTTATTCACTTGCTCACTCGCTAGGGTATACAAGCTTCGTGGCAATGTGGCTATTTTTACTTCTTGTTATTAATTTCGTTGTTTTTGTTTTGCGCACCACCGAGCATGTACAGTGGCGCCCACTAGTGTTAGCTTTGTGCACATGCATAATAATTTGTCTATGCGAGAGCAACAGCAACAGTCTGGCAGCACTGCGCAGCAGTATGACCGTACAAATTGGTGTGCTATATATAATAGCTGTTAATTTAAAATCATATCCTTGCTGAAATCTTATAAGAATCTGAAAATCATATTAACAATGTTAATAGAATAACATTTTTTTGCATATTTAAATTGCAGCTTTTTGTTATTGACCAAGCTCCATATGCGCTTGGTATATTTTCAGTGTGCTTGCAACATTTGGTATTTTGGGGCGTTGCGCTTGCAATCACATTGCGAACGTTAGTTGTTAGTCTTCATTTTGTTTTCGTTGCGCGCGGTAGTCGCGTCGTTTCAACACCTGCTGCCACTGTTGTCTTAAGAACTAAACCTACTAACAAAATCAAGAAATAATTAACATAAAATAATTGTTTAAAAGCTGCAGCTTGAAAGTAATATATCGGAGCAAGTGTACAGCACACAGCAAGCAAAGTGTTTTTGGTTTTTTTTTTACGGTTCTGGTGTCTGGTGTAAAGTTTGTGGTGCTCCTTGGATTTTTGTTGTTGGTTTTTTGAGTTGTTTGTTTTTTGTTGTTGTTTGCTTGGAAGATGCGCGGGCGCAACTAAAAAGGCGTCAAAATATTAAAACGTAAGCCTGGCCAAATCAAAAACTACAGTTAAATTTTACAAGCCGCGCGTAAACAAAACCTATTTACAAAATATACAGCAACAACAACAACGAGCGGCGGCTGCTGCTGGCGTTCTTGTTGTTGCTTTTGCCGTCTTTGGCTGCTTTTATCTGCCTGCTTGCTTGCAGCAAGTGACGGCAGCAACGGCGACGTCGACTGCGACGCCGGCTGCGACGCGATGGCAGCATTGTCTTTTGCTGTCTGCGCCTTAACTCGTTTTCCTCTTGGTCTCTGGCTCTTCTATTGCTGTGTCGTTTTTTTTTGTTTTTGTTTCTGTTTCTCATTTTTCTTTTTTTTTTTATTGCCCGATTTTTTCCTTTTGGAAAATTCGATTTGAGTTGCAGACGGCGCTGTTGACGTGACGCAAGCGCAAACTTTTGCAGCCCGCCCTGCAGCAACAAACCCCTTTCCCAGCGCACACAAACACACACACACACACACACACAGACACGCACGCACAGACACTTGTATGTGTGCATGTGTGTGTGTGTGTTTAATTAAATGCCAGAACTTTAAATTAGGATAACATTAAATCCTGCACGCGCGCTTGTTATTCATGCCACTTTACTGCTTCTTCTTCTTCTTCCGCTTCTTATACGCATTTCATCTTGCAGCGCTGCGTTAACCGTAAACCGGCCAACAAGAAGCCAACAACAAAAAGAGAAACAACACTTAATTAAAAAAGAAAAATAATAAAAAAAACGTCGTTAACTTTCGTTGCAACGCGTCTACGTTTGCTGTTGGGTAAGTTTCTAATATTTTGTTTGTATTTCATTTATTGTATTTTTCCTTATTTGCTGTTGCCCCGTTTGTTTGGGCTTTTCATTCTGTTGCTTTGATAAGCGTCTTATCATTAATATTCTTATTCAATATACACGCCCCATTCACTTTCTCTTCTCTCTTTCCCCGCACCCAGCCACCTCCCCTACCCCCCCTACCACCCAACAAACAGGTCTGTGTCACCTGAGCTTGATTAGCAGGGATTAACATTTTGTTCTTGGGGTCTCTTCTCCAGACACTTCCCAGCAATGGAGCTCTGCTGCGGACAAAGAGCTTTAAAGTACACAGCGTTATATTAATGTTCTACCCAAGGGGCAGCTTCTTTAGTGCATCATTTTTGTAGTTCCAATTTTTGATCAACACTTCCTTTTGTTCAAAAATGCTCATTTTTAAGAAGTTGCCTGAGAAACTATTCTTAGATCGGAAAAAAATTGACACAAAAATGGCTTCGTCCAAGTTGAAGTTGATACTAAATGATATTTAATTTGAATTTTGTATATTGTATATTGAATGCGATTGTGAACAGTTAAAAAAACTGTTAGGAGAAAATATTGCAATAAACACATATTTTCTTATACAATATCCAGGCTATATTTGATCCTTACCCAAAATGGAAATTTATCTAATAAGGTTAGATAAATGCAATGTTTTTGACCAAAATTATTTGTACTTTGGGTCATTATGTATCTCAAAAATTTTTTAATTTTGTCCTAAGCAGGTCAAATTAGCTCAAATCGTAAGTGTCTGCTCAAGAGACGCTTCACTGTATCCCTTTAGTTAATGGACCAACTGACTCAGCCGCAAGCGGGATCCTTCTTTATATAACAGATATTATTTTCAAAAATAACACATGCATTTATCGTAAGGTTGTCATGGGAAAATACCATCATAATCATGTTCGGGGTAGATATATATATGTATATATATTATTATTATTTATAATCTATAGCGAGCAGACAGGCTATACATATACTACATATATACATATATATATATATATATATATCTAGCAAGGTCTGTTCCTTCATGTTCTGTTTCCCGGATTGTATTTTTGTTTGTTATTTTTAAATGGCTGCCGACGAGTTTCGCATACTGCACCAGTGGCTTCCAGTGCCGATTAGCTGCGTCTCCGGAGCCGAAAATAGATCAAAGGGAGCGAAAACTCTGGGTAGAAGCAACCGAAACTGAAGCTAAAGTCTGCAATTGGTCCCGCATATCGTTGGATCGGCTGAAACAAAACGTGTTTGTTTATAGTTTTTGTTTGGTTCTCGCTTCTTGTTGTTGTTCCAAGCAATTTTCACACGCATTTCGCGGCCAGCAACAAAAAGACAGCACAATTTAAAGAGCTCTTGCAGCTACAGTTGACACTTGATAAAAGTATCTTGTGCTTGAGTAGATGCGCAAATCTCTTTGATAAACTATCATTTCTATGTGAGTCTTTTAGTGTAAATTATTTAAAAGTTTGTTGTAGCACAAAGATGAGTACTTTAAGAAAATGATAGGCTAAACGGATAGTTATTTGTTCATTAGTTGAGTTTTCACTGTATTTAGTAGATTGTTGATAGGTTCTTAAATTCGCATCCTCAAATGTTCCTTTACAAAGCGTTCAAATGCATGCAGAATAGCTGTAGGTTATCACTAGCGAATGACTACTGCATTTGCTAGTCAGTGTGACCAGCCGCTTGACAGCCTTAGGAATACTTTTGTATTGGATATGTGATTGTGAGTTTACAGTTTACAGTTTGGGTTAGTAGATCGATGTCTTGAGAATTTAGCTGCCCTCGGAGACGGGTACTCAATCCGTCGGCAAAATCCAATAGGTTTTATCAGAACGGTTTATCGGCAACCTGTTATAGCAAGGTGATAATTAACAAGGTGTTGCATAACCTGTAGATAGCTTCGTGTTCAGTGCTGTCCACTCTACGATTGGCCACTCGACTGACTCCCGTTGGTGCAACGCGAGAAGTCACAATCCCTTTTGCTTCCATGCCCTTTTGGCATTGAATTTTGTTGTAGTGCCACACACACACAAACACACATCTTGAATCTCTTTCGTTTGGTTCCACTTCTCTTCGATTTTAGCGCCGCTGGAGGTGCTTTATTTCTTCTAGCTAAGTGAAGCGCTGGAGTGCCAGTTGCCACTGAAAGCCCAGCATCGGCGTCTGCATCATCATTATTATCATTTAGCATGTGCATCTACATGTGGCACGTCATTAACATCATAATCATCTGGCTGCAGCATCATTATGAGCAACTTGCAGTGCATTTCTAGCGGTTCAATGAACTGTGACCGCATTCTTGTTGTTGCCGCTGCCGCTGCTGCTGCTGCTGCTGCCTCAATTGCTGTTGTTGTTTTTGTTGTTGCACGCATTGCAAATTCACACAAAACAGCACGTTTAGCAGCGACGCGACGAGGCAGCAAGAACAACGTTTTTATCACGTTGATGCACCAAATGCAGCTTTGTCTGTGCATTGCGCCCATGCCCAATTTCTCGGCAGCCCAACGCAACTTGATACTGCCGCCGCACCGGTGTGGCAGCTGCCACATGCCGCATGCAGCATCCCAATTTTAAAGGCAACTGAGATTTGCAGCTTCTCTCTGTGGAGCCATGGATCGGATCGGCGGCGCCAGCCAAGCCAAAAGATTCAAATCGACGTTGTCTTTTAATTGATTTTTGTCTTTTGTGCATTTTGTAGAAGGGTTGGGGCGCAAGGTGCTTGTGCACGGGGGCGGCCTGCAACGAACGACAGACAGGCAGGTGACAAAGTCGAACTCAAAGGCCGCAGAACGTGACATGTATACAAATTGTGCAATGAGTGGCAACAACAACATCTCGACTGGAACCTGAACTAAACTAAAATGTGGCGTGGCGAGAGGAATTGGGTGGTGTATGAGGGGGGCGGGGGGAAGGGACCAGGTGACTGCTTGTGTGGGTGTCCGTGTCACTTGCGTCAATTCAATAACAAAGAAATTACTCGCATTCGCCCCTGCGATACGATAGCAAAACAATTCATAATGTTTTAAGTATTATAAATATTACTATTGCAATTGTTATTATTAATAAGACAGTTCAATTGTTGCACAAAAAAAGGGAGCGCAAAAATTGACTAATTACGTAAACTTTAAAAAGCATAGTAATCTAGAAAGAGCAGTTGCCAGGAATAAATG